GAAATCAGAAATCCTAAAGTAAATAAGATCTGATTTTCTTATCTGCTATAAGTATAGTCGAAAATGCTAAATCACAAATATTTGGTCAACATTTGCATTAATTAGATTCAGATGTATTCACTAAAGAAAAACTAAATGTTTAAAACAAATTTAATGTTTACTCTCTTTAATCAAACTTTCTGTATAAATATACAGCAGCATATTTGTAAAAAGAGTAACAATATCTACTAAGACACTAGTACTTTCTCAATATATTCATTTTCATATGATCTACTTTTAAATAAGTATTATTTTTGCACCATTTTGATTATTTAGAATCTACCGTATTTGACACACGAGTGTATAAAATGCACCCCAATTTCAGCAGAGCAAATCATGAAAAAAATTAGTAATTAGTAAAATTAGTAGTAAATGGTACAGCCTAGGTTACATTTATGAGGTATTGTTTTGGTTAAACAAGCCATGATTACAATTAAATGAAAAATAATAGGAAAAAAAGAACACAAGACTATAAAAACTTTATTATATCCAAATGTAAGAAAACAAAATAAAAATCAAGCAATTATTGCAATTGAAAAAAAATTTTATTCAACTTCAAATCCATAAAATTTGTTGTCTTTGTTATCAAAACTCTGATACTCATTTTCAATACTACTATCATCGTTGTTAAATAATGCGTCATCTTCCGTTCCATTGAGAGCATTGCTAATGCCACACTTTAAAGCTTTCGCAACTATTTTGAATTTTAAACCTGCATATAGCATATAAGATGCAGGGGAATTTTAAAAGATATTTTTAGTAAAAAAAAGTGCGCCTTATATGCCATCAAATAAGGTAATTGTTTTCATATGCAAATTAAATATTGTTTCATTTCAAGGTCATTAGCAAAAAATTATCTTTTTGTCTTTGTTTTCTTCTCTTTATCATGTTCAACTAAACAACATTTTCAAAATTCATTAAAAAAGAAAATGGCATTTTTCAAATATATAGTTTTATAAAATAGGATACCTGTCAAATTTTAAACACAATTTCATAAAAGAATAATGTGAGGTACATATATATTTTTTGAAAAAAAGTTTTTTTTTTCTTTTTAAACTTAGGAAAGAAAAAAAAAGTGATTTAAATTTGATAAATTTGTTTTCAGACTCAATGTTGTTGTTTTTTCCTGTTAGTGAAACATAAACAGTTCAAGTTGAATGCTATCAATGTCAATGAATTTCCATTTTTGTTTGTGTTAATTCTAACTAGGTATGAAGTAATGGATACATGTGGATGGTGTAATTGTTATCAGCTCAGAAAGGAAAATCGGTGAGCAGAGTTCAAATTCAGACATAGTCCTATTAAGACCTTTGAGAAAGACATGAATCCAGCAGGGTAGACTGGATTGGCAACCAATCTAGGAGAAAGACCACTCTGAATTAAAAACTGGAGAAGAGAATGAGAAAACTACTATCTTTCCCAGGAAGTCATGGCAATTCACAGGAATTTGTGGTGAACCATGATTGCTTTTTTTCTAAAAGGACAAAGTATTTAAAGAATTTTTTAAAAATTGAGTAATGATTCTTATGCCACAATAGCCCTAGTAGATTAAAGTGTTGGTTTGTGAATTTGGTGCCATAGTAATTGTGAGCTCATTTCCAGGGCCATAGATTAAATAAAGGGTTCAGTTTGGAATTCCTTGTAGGCTAACTGGGTTGATGTATACCAGATGAAGTCTGAAGGGCACAACAGCTGAAATGTTGTGATAACAACAAAGATGAGGACAATAGTCCGAATGTAAATAATGTTAACTCTTCATCCCAGAAATTCAGACAGGAAATAATGATTTGTTATTGCTTTATATATTTTTCCTTTTGACCAATGTCTGGATAAGTTATAAAAAATATTGTACTGATAATGTTTTGAAAGGGTTGGGGAACTTAATTTAAAAGTTGTGTGTGTATGTGTGTATATATATATATATATATATATATATATATATTCTTTAATCTAGCAATCCATGACCTGGCATCCCCTATGTCTGGTACTTTTTTGAATCAGCTGCCTCTTGTTCATTGAGTGGCTACAAGGGTAGCACTACATGTTGTTTAAAAGTTTCTGCAGCAGCCGACAACAGTATAATGTTTGAGTGTGAGTCTTTATTCATTTTTTATTTATATATATATATATATATATATATATATTATATATATATATATATATATATATATATATATTATATATATATATATATATATATATATATATATATATATATATATATATATATATATATATATATATATATATATATATATATATATATATATATATATATATATATATATATATATATATATATATATTATATATATATATATATATATATATATATATATATATATATATATATATATATATATATATATATATATATATATATATATATATATATATATATATATATATATATATATATATATATATATATATATATATATATATATATATATATATATAGTGATATATATAAATTATTATATATGGTTTAGGCTTTTTTCTTTCTTTCTTTTTTTTTCTTTTTTTTTTTTCTCTCTCTTTTTAAGCCTTTGTATTACATGAAACGATAAAAAGCTTATTTGGAAGTTACAGTACATCCACAATTATTTTTACAGGTTCCCTATAAGCCCCCTACAGTATAGTAAGTAGATATAATCTTTTGGTTTTAGGCTTTTTTGGCCTTTGTCTTGCATGAAACAATAAAAGGCTTGTTTGGAAGCATTAATGTTTGTTATTTCCTGTTCAAGCTTTTGACAACACAACAACATATAGTGATTTTCTAAGCCCAGCTTTATGAATGAAAATATGTTTAAAACAACATCACAACATCTATTTCCATTAAAGTAAATAAGGAGCGCCGTGAATATAACCCACAGAAAGAATGAGTTCAAACAATTCTAAGAATTACTCAACCATATTTAATGGTAAATTAAGAAAACTCTCCACTCTCCCCAGCTTTTAGACTCTCGTAAATTTGTAACAAATGTATGAAACTTTTTTTTTAAACTGGGTCAACTAAAGAACATGGATAGTAATATTTGATGCACCATGCAACAATTATTTTTAATCACCCCCGCCTCCCACTGAAATGGAGGAGTGACCTTATATTCCATCAGTTCCAGTATGTGGTTGGTTCAGACTATTTTTATGGGATGTGTGTGTGTGTTTTTTTTTTTGTTTTTTTTTTCCTCTGGTTTTGGCTCTGTGCCCTCCAAGCCTTCTATAGATGTTTGTGGTGTTCTGCAATGTCAACCACATACAATTGTAATAATATTATTTTACAGATGTTATTTTATTTTTGATATTTATTATTGCTATATCTATACAAATAAAATGAAGTATCTGTCAGTCATCTATAACTCGGGTTAAATACAGGCTAGTGGTGATGTCAGTTTTTCCCATTAGCAATGTCAGTTCTAAAACATATGGCTTAATTTATGTATTATTACTTCTGTACCTAGACTTATCGTCAAGTTGAATGACACAACACCATCGTTAAAACACTTCATCTAACAAAATTAAGACAATGACTTGGAATGATAATGAATCTTCTCAAAATGATAGAAAGAATATAATTATGACTTGTCATAGATTTCTGATCATGAATTTCACAAATTTCATTTTTATCTGACAAAATTCATGTGATAGTGTTTGAGAGCAAATCTTTATTTGCCATAAGTTTTGCCGACAACTAAACCCTTTAATGTTTAACATTCTGGAGGTGATTTTGTTTGCAAAGCAAAAATTTTATCCTGCCACTGGAAAATGACTCAGATGAATGAATGATAGCAGATTTGAATTTTGCAGTTGTGTTGTCATATCCTGCTATGGCAACAGAAAATGACCATGACTGATATTAAATAGTGAAGTAGGGGAGCCTTGAAAAACAATGCAGTGGAAAGGAAAGTAGTGAATAATGCAGTGTTAAGGGTTAAGAATGGAAGTGTCCAAATTTGCCTACAAGTTTCTCAACTTACAGTCTGTGAACACACAAATACTCCAGCATTTGTGTAGCACCATATTTCAATACACAGTGTTAACATTCATCACATGATTATCTAGAGGTGCCGGTAATTTACAGCTATTTAGAAATCTACAACCATATCTCATAATCAGTAGTACTAAGGGGGTTAAACATAAGTTAATGTTAGAATGTTTCACTTTATTGCATGATTGCTAGACTAACATATGTAATTAACAACTTAATATACAAGCAGATACATACTTGTAATTTATGCTGGAAAATATTAATCTAATTCGGTGTTTCCCAACCTTTTTTTTCAACCAGTAGTACCCTCTTTGGGCACAACCCCCCCCCTCTTAAATTTTGAACATTATACTGAATTCATCTTTCATAGCAGATAACATGTAGGTACCAGTGCAAAAATAATTTAAATATTGTTTTAATTTCTATTATAAATATCAATGATTAAAATGCTAAAAAAAACTAACTTTTATTTGATAGTTTATCTCAATGTTTTCAATCTGATGGTTGATTTTGGTGCTTACTGACTAAGGTTCTTACTCTAGGTTCCATGCTGTCTAGAAGTAATCGTAGATCTCCTCGTTTTGTAATTTGCAGGAAGTTTCTTTGTTTCATAAGAAACTATTTAACTGTGTTGAAACCACATTTGGCCATATAGGAAGTTGGGAAAGCAATGAAGAAAAGTTTGATAGCTTCTCACAGCTTTAGATACCTTTTCTAGCCAATATGGAATAACTTGAAAATTTGAAAAAAAAAAAAAAAAAAAATGAATAAATATCCCCCCCCAGTATATTCACTGCTCCCAAAATAAAATAAAAAGTCTCAGTGCCTGCTTTCAACATAACAGAGCCTTCAAGGGGGCCCTAGCACCCAAGTTGGGAAACACCAATCTAATTGGACCAACTTTGATTCTCCCTACCTCATATTCTTTTAAACCCCCATGTCATAACAAATTTATTATCGAGGATTAGGGTCTTACGGCCACGTCCTGTTGAAACACCAGTTTGCATACAAACACAGAAGTTAAGCAACATCAAACCTGGTCATTACCTAGATGGGTGACCGCTTGGGAATACTAGATGCTGTAAACTTAGATGTGTGGGTAGTGTAATGGATAATGGCTCAGAATTCTTAATCATAGAGCCAAGTTCCAATTCCAGTTGGGTTTGTTATATTCACTTATGTGCAAATATTCTTGGGAAAGGGAATCCATCTCCCCCAGCTAAACCATCCCCCCCAAAAAAAAATTCTTAAAATTTAAAATATTTTCTACTTTAAATTAACCTGCAATTAGTTGATAAGCCATAGAAAACAAATTAATCAATCCAACTATTAAGTTAAATAGGATAGACTAGGCTTTCCAACCTTGGCTGGTAGCTAGTCTAAGAGAAGGAAACTGCAAACTGTGGAAAAGGCAGCTAGAAACCACTCTGCTATCTTTCTCTAGCAAACATTAATAATGGGCAATACTGTAATGGCCAGCTACTAGTTTCTGAGCACACACTAGTGTGGCTAGCCCATCCCCTTTGCAGATGCCTGCTCAGGTACATTTGTTCAACACTCACAGAACCCAGCTGTGGTTTTATTGCAACCATGCTGATTGGGTCAGTTTCTGGAAAAGAGAAAATAATTTGGTGTCATCAACAGTTTGAGTAAGGTTGGTATGCTCAAACCCTGAGCCACGATGACTTGTGACTTTGTGCTAGTACAGCTATTAATGACTTAATAACAGTTTTGTCTACTCAATTTCACTCACAAGGCTTAGGTTAACCTGTGTTATGGATTTCAGGCATTTCCCCGCAAAAAAATAGTAAGTTTGCTGAATTAATTATTATTATTGTTAATAATATAAAATTGATAACATAAGTTATAAATAAAAGCTACTAATTCCATCAGAATAAAAAAAAAAAAAAAAAGAAAGCAATTGTTTTTATCATTTGTTAGATGGTATTTGTATACAGTGAACAGTGAGTCATTCCTTGCTTACTCTGAAAACAACTTGAATCTATTGAAGCATGACACAGCAAGTTGGTTAAACTGTGATACACAAATTACACTTCAGGCTGACATCATTTATTTTTAAAAATTACAACAGTTATGTATTTCTGAATCATAATAATAATTTTCGTATTTTTATAAATACAAAATTTTAAGAGCTAGGGATTAAAAAAAGAATAAAAAGACAATTGTATAAATTCAAATTCTGTAGTCAGAAAAATGGATAATATAAAATAAGTTAACACCAAATCAACCAACTACTGGGAGCACAAAACCAAAGACTACAGAACAAATTCAAGTCTTGTGGGCCAACAGGAATCTCTACTTGCCACTATTAAGTGTCGAAAGATGTCATAGTTTGGTCATGTCATATGGCATAACAGCCTCTGCAAGACCCATCAGGCAAGGTATTGTCAAAGGTGGATGCAAACAAGGACAGCAATGCAAAAGGTGGTCAGACAACCTCAGACAGATATGACAATGCTGGAACTCCTGAGAGTCACTGCCAACAGATCATCCTGGAGGAGGTTGTCTGTTTCTTTTGCCCTTAGGTCCCCCAGATAAATGAAGCAGTCAAAACTCTGATGATGATGAAATCAATGCCATGTTCCTTTAGGACTTGGGAAAACCAAACTTTCTATCATAAAGTTTGTCTTTTCATCATCCCTTGAACTCCCTGTTCTGCTATACATTTATACAAGCTTGTTAGGTAGGATACTTGCTGTTTTCCTGTCTCTCTTACCTTCAGCATATCCTGTGAGTGTCAAATTCTCTAAGCCCTCATTCCTCTTTATATGTCCTAGAAATTTCTCTCTCTGATTCTAAGTCATAATTTTTGTTTCTATTTTCCTTAAAACTTTCTTGTTACATGTTCAGTCTATGGTATTCTTGGCATCCTTCTGTAGAACTACATTTCTGTTGCCTAAAGTCTCTTTATCTGTGAAGAGATTGTCCAGCATTCACAGCTATATAGGAACAGTTCAGCACTATTTCCTTGGTTTCTAACAACATTTTCCTGTTTGTTATTACTTTGCTTAACTTTTGGAACGCATCTTTCACTATTCCAATGCCCTTTCAGATTTCAGTATCACAATTTTCTTATTCCGTTAAAACACTTCCTAGATACTTAAATGTTTGTACTTGCTTGATTTTGGCGTCACCAATTCGTAATTCATATTTTGGAGTGTTTCTCTTACTCACATCTGATTAATAATGATATTTTAAATAAGGAAAAATTGTACTTGCTTGTATGAGTATTTACAAAGTTTATCTTTATTACAGTCACAAATGTAAGTGACCCAGTGAGGATCAAACTCAGTACAGTAGTCATGATCTGTAAAACTAGCTTATTAACCATTGCTGTATGGTCAGTGCCTCTTAGGTATTTAAGCTTAGCTTAGCATAGAGCCACATGTGTAAGGCACTCAGTGAGGACCAAACTCACTACAGTAGTGAGATCAGCTTGTTAACTATTGCTTTATAGTAAATGTCTCATAGGTATTTACTAAGCTTATTTTTATCTGGTATAGCAACAAAATTGTAAGACACATCGTTTGGATCAAACTCAGTACAGTAATAATGATCAGTGAGACTAGCTAATTAAGAATTACTCTATGGTCAATGCTGTACAGTTATTTACTGAACTTAGCTTTGTCTGGCATAGAGCCATAAGTATGAAAAAATAAAGTGACAAAGAATTGGAACTGTGTAGAAAAAGGAACAAAATCATAAATTACTTATAAGAATTGGTTAATTTTTCTATAATTTGGATGAGTTTACCATGTTCTTTACCTGTTACAATTGATTCTATCTTTACTTAAACCTTTAGCATTCAACCCGCCCTGTAAATATCAGCTCTCAGTGTTCAACCCCCATAACCTGCCCTATGTATGCTCTGCCATAATATATGATATCATCGCAAATAACACAGTAAGCCATGCAAACAGTGAGATGTTTATGGCTGTGTTGAATGTTGAATGGTTAAGTGTTTTACAACAAAAATGAACAGTTTAAGGCTGGGATTACCCAAATGTGCCTGCAAGTTTGACACTCTTACAGTCCAGAAATGTCCAAATGTACCTTCAGTTGTGTTGTACTGTGTTTCAATACACAGCATTAACACCTTGTTACATATTTAACTAGAGGCACCTTTTTGGGAATTTACAACTTTAACAAAGTTAGAGATTTGCAATAATAGATCTCATAAACCAGTAGTACCAAGGACGTTAAAGAACAATTATGTAATGATTGCAATAATTGATTCATTCATTCATTTTCTATGGCTTGCAGGTTATTTCAAGCCAGAAAATATTTTTAGATTGTAACATTTTTTTTTTTTTAATTTTTTTTTTATACAAGTCTTACTAATTAACCTATAGCTGGTGAAAGAGGAGGTGGATTCTTCCATTTCCCAAGGTATTTGGATGTAAGTGAATATAATGAACTGAACTGGAATTGGAACTCAGCTCTCTGATTAACAATTCCAAGTCATTATCCATTACACCACCTGCACATCCAAGCTTACAGAATTTGGTATTCCCAAATGGTCACCCATCTAGGTACTAACAAGACTCAACACTAAATTAATATATTAATTTAACTTATATAAATAAAATTATCACTTAGCAGATAGATGTTATATTTAGCATCTTGACTCCAGAGTTTCATAGATGAAACTTCTTTTTTGTAATTGTTCAGTCCACTCATCAGGAGGTTTCCACAATTGACCGTGGATTTCCTAATTTTTGTTATCCTTATACTAAGTTAAAAATTAATTTATGCACTAGTAATTGGTGTTAAGTTATTTTTTTAAATTTTTTTTCTTCTCTTATTGTGTGTGTTTGTGTACACATGTGAATGTGTCAGATGTGGTTATTTCTCTTTTTCATCATTTTCTAATCTGCTTGTACTCTTCCTTTCTCTATTCCTTATGTTATTTTTTAGGGGGTGGCGAGTAACATGTAGCCTATGAAGGTTAGAACTGGTGGAAATAAGGAGTGTCATTTGTCTGAACACTTAACATGGAAATAGCGATAGAACAGTGAGAGGCTTGTAACATTTCATCTATGTGACTGAGGTTGTCAGGTGGAAATAATTTGTCAACCGCAAGGACACTGAGACACTTTTGGACTCTGTTGAGGCTAGAAATTAAAGACTGGGCAGCTTCTGCCCATATGTGGCAGTAGTACTTCATTTATGGGAACATAGCTAAATAGTTAGAATGTTCACATTCTGACCATGAGACTCGGGTTCAAATCTCACCATGGTAGATTTGTCAGGAAGGAGACTTTGTGATATTATCAGACTGGAGGAGTCAGTCCTAATGAGCGGCACCTTTGGAAAGTGCCTTAAAACCATACCACAAGTTGACTTAAGACTTGTGAGTGAAATTGGGTAGACGAGCCATTGGGTGTCATCAATAGATGTGCTAGCATGAAGTCACAAGTCATCGTGGCCGAGGGCTTGAGCATGCTGGCCTTGTTCAAATTGTTGATCATGTTAGATTACACAATCTTTCCCAGAAACTCTAACTATGGTCTGCTCAGCATAGTTGCATTATAAACCACATGTAGGCTCTGTGGGTGTTGAATAAACACAAATGTGTCTGAGCAAGCCTCCGCAGTAGGGATTGGCTTGCCACCCTAGTAGATGGGTATCTTTGAATACAAATGGCCAGCTATATATATTTCA